GTACATAATAACTATTTGAACGTAGAGCGTTGACCAGTAGTTTAACTGGTGTGTTATTAAGTTATTTGAATTAAATTTGACTTAAATTTAATTTATTTAATAAATGAGTTAAGCTTAAATTTAATATTAAACTTGATAAAAATGAGTTTAATCTTGAATTTAGATCAATACTTACAAGCCACTTATGAATATTTGGTTTAAAATTAAAAATTATATTATATATTTATGTGTGTTAATTTAAATATAATATATATTTTTTTATATTAATTGCACAATGGGAGACAATTATCTCATATATCTTATCTCATCTCACTTGCATGCCATGCGATACAAAGTTAGGACCTTTTATTTCCAATGAAAGGAGATGATCATTGTGTTACTTATGTCGTCAGCATTTATATATATATATATATATATATTTGAACTCAGTGAAAAACATATCATTTCATCAAAGCTATACGGCATTTACATAAGAAATGCCGATCTCATTAATAAGAAAAAATTACAAACAGATAAAACACAACTGGAGAGAAAATGAAAAGCAAATCAAGTTCAATATAAGACAGATAAAAGAGGAGTAGTGAGCATTTCACACGAACAACCACTAAGGAAACAACCGCTAAGGAAATAGATTTTGATATATTCCTTTGGTCGACCATTCCAGAGAACTGGACACCCTTCCATATACTCTTGCATAAATTACACCTGTTCTCTAGGATGCTGTGGCTAAAACATTAGAGTAAGTGGTGGCCATCCCCTGAATTCTTCATGATTGGCTTGTTGGTCGCCATATCTGAGCAAACCAAAACAAGAAACAAGAAATAGAAAGAAAAGAGAACAAAGGCCACCAATAATACCACAAAAGAATCGACAAACCATCTAAAGTGGTCACCGAACATAGGAGTATGGTTGACCGGCTCCACCATGCTTAAGAAGCCCTTTGACTGCTTGTGCATCAAAAGCTCGAAAAGCTCGGAAGCTTCCGAGCACCCAAAAAGGGGATGAAAACTGGAGAAGTTTTGAGATAGATGCTAGAGAGTTCTAAAGGAGAGAAAGAGAAGTTTTGGATTTTCTTATATATAATTTAAGTGTATATAATAACTTATTACAAGTCTGAGCTTGAACTTGAGCTTGGCTTTATTATATTTTTATTTTTCTGTTGTCGGCTTGCAAGACTTGAAGAAAAAAAAATGTTTTCTTTTGAATGATGGCATATAATTTATTGAATGAATTTTAGTTTGAGCTTTTTAAAACTAATAACAAGAACATTTAAATGGAGTTTTAAAATTTTGTTATTGTTAGACTTTAATATAATGCCCTTATTTAGACTTTTGATATTTCAATTTTTTTTAAAAATGTAGACATATTTATGGTTGAATGATTGGTTATTAAAACAATTTAAAATTACCAAAAAATTAAAATAAAACTCAAATTTAAACCAAAATACTTCCTCACTTGAGCTTATACTCACACACTCGAGTTCATACTCAAGCTCGTGAGGTCAAATTCGCTCGAACACTTGCAAGCTTGAACTTGAATTCAACTATTTAGAGCTTATCAAATTCTCGAATTTAACTTACTCAACTTGTTAATAACCTTATTTAAATGATATGGAATCCTAACCAAAACTAAAAACAACATAAAAACCCAAAAAAATCCTTTGCGTTCTTTTTTTACATGACAATTGATGCCTTTGTGTTATTATTATTATTATTATTTTAATGTTAAAATCTTATTTGATCTCTCCATTATAGGCATAGGCATAGGATGTAGCTACATCATATAGGGTTTTGATTTTTTTTTTTCATAATTACATTGGATGTCATATTAATTATAAAATATATATGTCATTTTATAATTCAAAATAATTTAAATTATAAAATATTTTTATGTAAAATATATGACTCCTATGTAATGTGCAGGGAAGCTCCTATTTCCCTCAAATTGAATTTTTTGGAGTGAAGTGACTGGATTCTTAACCAGCCTCTGAAGTCTGAACATTTTGCATTCATAGAAGTTTGTGAGAGCAATATGAAAAACTTGATGTGTTCTCACTGGGTATTGTTCTGTTTCAAGTATTGAATGGTATGAGGGAACATGAGCCGACGGCAGTGAGGACCATTTCCAGGAACACTAAATTGTATCAAAAACGGTTGCATTGATAGTGTTATTGATCCACGCAGAGTAAGCGCTAGAGCTTTTGATAGAATTTCTGAAAATCTCTGAAAATCTCTGAAATTTAATCTAATTTTTAAAATACCACTTGATCAGTATCATTGATCGTTGATCTTAAAACTTGAGGTTGGTATTGCTATTGATGTACTTTATGCAATACTGGCACATTGGATTATTCTTGGGGAGAATTCCTTTAGCTTTGTTGACTCATTGGCAATCATGCATAGTGTTCCTATCTTCTATTGGGCTTGGGGTTAATCAAGTAATTTAATATTTTGGCATTTCGCTTTCCTATAACCTCTTTGTCTTTTACCTCCAGTCTCCATAACTTCTGTTTCTTTCACCTAATAGTTCAAGAAAATCAGAGCTATCTAGAGAAATTATTTGATTAGGATAGAAAATAATAATGTTAAGTTATGGTATGAGTCTATGGGATGGAATATTTAGGATAACTACCACCATGTTTAGTTTGTGTGGAAGGCTACAAGCCTACAACTTTGAAATAGACTCAAATTTTGTTTATGTTACCATATCCTTTTAGTATTCAACTTTGTTTATTATTTTAGTAATTTAAGTTTTTCATTAGAATCCTTTCTTGATGCGGCCCTTGGAGACGAAATATCTACCTCCATAACCTCCCAAACTTTCGACAGTAAAGATTAATTTGAATTATACCTTAGAATACAAAATTAAGTCTTTTATTATTATTATTATTATTATTTGACGTTGGTTGCAAACGGAAGGTAACTCTCTCGTATTTCTTCTCTCATTTCACCCGTATATTATATAACTCAAATTTATAATTTTTTATTTTCAATAAAATAAGATTATTTATTTAGATAGTTAATAAGTTTCTTTTTATCATTTAAATATAAATATTTTAATAAATTATATTCATCACTTTTCAAAATTAAGTCTTTTATTATTATTATTATTATTATTTGACGTTGGTTGCAAACGGAAAGTAACTCTCTCGTATTTCTTCTCTCATTTCACCCGTATATTATATAACTCAAATTTATAATTTTTTATTTTCAATAAAATAAAATTACTTATTTAGATAGTTAATAAGTTTCTCTTTATCATTTAAATATAAATATTTTAATAAATTATATTCATCACTTTTTAAAATGAAGGCTATATTATTAATATGATTATACAAAATATAGTCTTTTCTTATTATTATTTTCAAAATATATAAAAATTAACTAAATAATAAATTTATATTTTTAAATAAAATAGTATATAAAAAAATATTTATAATAAGTTTGGTAAAAAAGAAACCCCAAACTAATCAGACCCGGGAATGGGCCGGGTTAAAATCCGACTGGGGAAGAAGAAAGGGGGTAGAGTTCTTCACCCCAATAAACCCTTATTTCAACTGGGTTGTTTCTTGCCATTTAGGACGACGAGGTTTAACTCGCCGGATCCTTAGAATGCATACGCCAATCTCTCCGTCTTCTCTTCCTTTGCTTAGGTTAAAACCCGATTTGCTCTGTTAGTCCCTATGTGCGGAGCCAACACTTGGGGGAAATTATAGTAGCAATCTGATTTTCAGGTAAAGTTTCTTCTCAAATCTCTTTAAAGGATTTTGCTTTTTTCGAATCGTCTTAACTCTTGCCCTGCATGTGCTGTGCTTTGCTTTGCTTTGCTTGACCTCGGGGATTGGTTAGATGATCTTGTCTGCACTTTTCAGCTCAAATCGTTATCTGGGTTATGTTAAAAAACCTGATTCTTCAATACTTCTATTTATATGTTCACAGTTTATGTTGTCTTTGAAAGATATTGACTTTCTTTTTTTTTTTTTTTCTTTTTTTGGTTTTAGTTTCTTGTTTGGATTTTTGATGGATTTTCATGTTATCCTGCATATTTGAATTTAGTTAGTTTCTCTTGTTAGGTTGATATTTTTGTTAATTTTTAGTGTTGTTTTTTGGTTTTTATTTTGGTGGAATGTGGTTTCTAATTACTTGGGATTGGTTTTAGGAACTAATAATGGGGAAAAAGGGCAGGAAGAGTAATCGAGGACCTCCTAGGGGACGGGCGGTGGCCCATTCTCCAAAGACTGTATCCCAGGAGAAGAATGCTAATATTGAGAGAGTTGATGATGGAGTTAAGGTAATAAAGGAGAAGAAACTATGTCCTCATCTTGAAAATGGTGTTGATTTGGATAAGTTGGCTGCTAAACTTCAGTCTTCAGCGCCTATTAGGTGTGAAGATTGTAGGGAAAGGGTAAATGATAGAAGAGTGGGTAAGGGAAAGGGTAAAAGTGGAAAGAAGAAGGGAAGTGCTTCACTTGATTCAAAACCTGAGTCCAAAGTTTGGGTTTGTTTGGAATGTGGGCATTATGCTTGTGCAGGAGTTGGGTTGCCAACAGCTGATCAATATCATGCTGTTCGGCATATTAGGCAAACACGCCACCGTTTGATGATCCGATGGGATAACCCCCAGTTACGATGGTGCTTCCCTTGCAGTACTCTCCTTCCAATTGAGAAAACAGAAGAGAATGGTGAAACTAAAGATGTTTTAGCAGAGGTTGTAAAATTATTAAAGCAGCAATCATCTGAAGCATCAGCCTCACAAGTTGATGTTGAGGATGCCCGGTTTGGGAGTGGCACTGTTCTGAGTGAAACCAAGTCAGAAGTGCTTGTCCGTGGCAGTTTAGATGGAACAGGTAGTTATGTAGTCTGTGGTTTGGTTAATCTTGGGAATACATGCTTTTTTAATTCAGTTATGCAGAATCTTCTGGCACTAGATAGGTTGCGGGACTACTACTTGAATCTGGATACATCTGCAGGGCCACTTAGTATTTCTTTGAAGAAGCTCCTTGCTGAAACAAAAGTGGAGGCAGGCTTGAAAAATGTGATAAATCCCAAAGTCTTTTTCGGTTGCATATCTTCCAAGGCTCCCCAGTTTAAGGGCTACCAACAGCACGATAGTCATGAATTGCTTCGGTTCTTACTTGATGGATTGTGTGCTGAGGAATTGGGATTCAGAAAACAAATCAATGCTTCTAAAGACATAGCTTCCTCAAACCAGGATCCTACTCTTGTTGAAGCTTTATTTGGGGGCCAAATTTCTAGTACTCTCCGTTGTGTGGAATGTGGGCACTCCTCAACAGTATATGAACCATTTCTAGATCTTTCACTTCCAGTTCCAACTAAAAAAGCCCCATCTAAAAGGGTTCAATCAGTTCCTCGTGCCAAGAAATCAAACCTGCCACCCAAAAAAACTGGTAGGAATCGACCAAAGGTTAACAAAGATGCACATCCAGTACCAGGCCAAAGTAGTTCAAAACCATCACCTAGTGGTGAATCTCACTCTTCAGGCCCAGTACATGCAGCTGTACCTCCAGGAGAAAAGATAATGGCATCTTCAGTTGATTCTGCACTATCAGGTACAGTTGGCACCATGAGTGAGGCCAAAGAAAGCACTTCAGCTTCAGAAAATCTACTGGCTTTTTCTGAGTCTGAGACTGCTCAAGTAACTAAGAATTCAACACAGCAAGTGGAAGCTCTGGTAGATGATTCGACATGGTTGGATTACCTTGAACGAGGAATTTCTGATGACAGTGATTTAAATTCTCAATATAATGATGCTTTGTCTCTTCAAGATTCTGTAAAAGAAGACACTGCTGTGAATGAAGCTTTGTTGGAGAGTGATCCAGCTTACAAGCCTGGTGGAGACCCCAATGTGAAACCCAATAATTCTTGTGCGAATCTTGGTGAAGAGGAGCATCCTTTACAGGTTAAAGATGCTGAAATTCTGCTTCTTCCTTACTATGAAGAAAGTTCCTCTACCAAGGAAGTTGTGAAAGAAGGTGAGGCCTCCTCATTAATTGTGAGCAGTGGACAAGAGGAATTGGATTTTGATGGTTTTGGTGACATGTTTAACGAGCCTGAATTTGCTGCTGGGCCCCTTATTGGGCCCTCTTTGGCTAATGAGATTGAAGAAGCTGGTTTTATGGCTGGAAACGGTAGTGATTCTGATCCAGGTGAGGTTGATAATACAGATTCCCCAGTGTCTGTGGAGAGCTGTTTGGCTCTTTTCATTAAGCCAGAGCTCCTCTCTGATGATAATGCATGGCATTGTGAGAATTGTTCAAACACTCTGCTACAAGAAAGGTTGGAAGCAAAGAACAAGCAGGCTCAAATGTTGCAGAATTTAATCAGCGGAGGTAAGGCTCAAAGTTATAGCAAATCACCAAATTTAGATAAGGATCGTTTCAGTACTTCTACAGTTAAAAGTTTTAGTAATGGTGATATTAGTACGGAAATTTCTCTTAACACTTATGGTGAAAGTTCACTTTCACATGCTGAGAGAATTGATTTCTTGAATCCAAATGGTAAAACAGTTGGAAATGGTGAACCAGATAAGCTCAATTCAGGTGTTTCTCTATTTGACGAAGGGAAAGGTGAGATAGAAGATGCAAGTGGGGAGAAAGCAACTTCTGTAGCTCATTCTGAATCTCGTGGTCAAGAGAGTTCCAGTGAGTCTCAAATCATTGAGTCTTGTACTACTGGAAGTCATTGTGGTAGTCATAAATTTCAGCAGAGTGATTCAGAGATTGCTGAAAACTGTCAATCAGGGCAGAGTGAGGATGAGGAGATAAACTCCAAAAGCATGAAGGTTAAGAGAAATGCAACTAAGGGTGTGCTGGTAAACAAGGCTCCACCTATCCTGACCATCCATCTGAAGAGGTTCAGCCAAGATTCTCGTGGTCGCTTAAGTAAATTGAATGGACATGTCAGTTTTAGAGAAATAATTGATCTAAGGCCTTATATGGATATCAGGTACTTTCCCAAAGTTCTAAGTTCTGCAATCCCATTTTGATGTTGCTGTTTTTTATTATGTTTGATATATTTTGGTAACTTATTTCTTGAAGTACTTTTTTTTTCTTCTTTTCATTTTCTTACAAGTTTCCTCCCATTCAGTTTTGTGGTGTAAATAACTGGTACTTTTCACTCTTAGATTATTGATTACTATTTTTTTGATCCATGTAAGTTATTGCTTTTTGAGACCATAGGAAGGTGTGCCTCATATGGGTCTGACATTCAATATTGGGGAAGTTAAATTTTATAGAAATTGTTACCAGTCTGATGTTAAAGATAGTGAGAAATAAAAATGTACCATGTGATTAAACACGGGCCATCTTTGTAGAACACAAGTTTACAAATAATCTTAAATGTTGGTAACTGGCCTTTTTTTAGCTTATTTTTCCGTTGTAGGCTTGTAGCAGGAAGGATATATGATTTGGTTAATAATTGGGTTACTATGTTGTAAATGTAATCTGAGATTTACAAAAGAGTGGGGTGGTAGATTGCATCAAATGATGAGGTTACTAAATAATAAGGTCACCATGTCATAACTGTAACCTAAATTTTAAGATTATTCCACAAAGTTAGATAAAGATTAGTTGATGACTTTTTGTCAAAGACAGTCTTGAGAAAATGGATTTGGCACTTATTAGCTGCCTAGTCCAGCCTCAAAAGTCGTCATTGTTTCTCACTTTATTTTGAAGATATTAGCTGGTTTGTAAAAAAGATATTTATTGGACTAGGTCAGCCCAAAAATCAGTGCCCAGTTTTTTCTGGATTCATATCCTGCTTGATCAATCAACTCTAGTTTGGCTGTGACCCTCGGAAGAGTGATATGTGCTGCATGTAATATTCTGTCTTATTTAGCATACTCCCATCTTCATTTTGTTGATGGGATAACATTTGATTTAAGTATGAAAAGTAATCAAAATTGGTGTGGTGCACATGGCTTTTCTCCCTGGTTTGTAATGTGCTGTTTCAATCTTACAAAAGAAATTGACTTGTTCTGAAGCAATTGCTAAGTTGTTATTATTTTTTGCTAGGGCACATCTTGAGATAATAAGAACATTTTGCTCATTTTCTGTTGCTTTGGAATACAACTACTGGGTTAGGTATATTCCCCTTAGAAATTGTCGTGTAGAAACAAGGCTTAATTTTCTTTCAGGGTTGTCCTGCAGTTTGCTTCTCGTTAATGCTTGTTTTAAAGAATAGCCGCATTTGGTGATTATTGTTGGTAACTTGTAAGCAGTGTTGTGCTTTTGTTAATAAGAAAATACAAGAGGAAAAGAAACTGGTGGTTACAGTTCACCATGATCTATACTTATGCATGCTGTTCGTGATCTACAGGTGCACAGACACAGAAAAATGTCTTTATCGTCTTGTTGGGGTGGTGGAGCACGCGGGAACAATGAGAAGGGGCCATTATGTTGCATTTGTGCGAGGAGGTGATAGGAGGGGTAAGGCAAAGACTGAAGACTGGAGCTCCGTTTGGTATCATGTTAGTGATGCGCAGGTGCGCCAGGTCTCCTTGGAAGTAGTTCTCCGCAGTGAGGCATACATCCTATTTTATGAAAGAATTTGAGATGGATTCTTTTTTTTCTACATAGCAGAAGATGTTTCATTTCAACAGTGGATAAAGTGAGAATCCCCCAGATGGGGGAACAGGGATACATTAAAAGGCCAGAGGTGAGTGTAATTGTACAATCAACCATTACCATACAGTCTAACGAGTTTTGAGTTGTACATCACAAAATTAAATTATTAGAAAAGCTTCGGTATTCTTTTTATGGGTCGATTTCTTCAGCAATTGAATTTGAATTCATTCTTGGGAGTGCACTGTTTAGCCTGGAATTGCACATGAAGGAAATATTATATCAGAATTTACAATCTCATTCTCAACTACCGCTTCAAGGGCCAACAAGGCCTATTATGATGTAATAGGAGAGAATAAATGGAACTAGAGAGAGATAATTCTGCACACCCTTCATATTTACCGAGGCATTTTTGCTACGGTCTACCATTTTACGTTCTCAACTACGTATGAATGATACTCCGTCGATATCTACATTAAGTCTTAAATGAGTGTCCTTATTTGTGGCTGAAATGGGATGTCTCGGCTTATAGCTAACATAAAAGTAGTGTAGGTATATTGTCTTGGCTCTTTTCATTTAGAATTTATTTGTGATAAGTTTATTTATAATATTGTATTTATCAATGATTTATTGATTCGAATAAAATAAATTTGATTTTTTTTAAATAAAATCTTGAATTCGAATCTTGTGAATGAAAAATAAATGTCGAGAAATCTTTTTCTCTAATAAAGTTTGATGTAATTTAATTTTAAATTAATTAGATTCAATATAATTATTGAATATTAAAAAATTAATACTAAAAAAATTTATAATATTACATAATATTATAATTTAAAATAATGAATTTTACTACCATATCAGCTTGGTATTTTGGATTTTTAAAATATAATAATACAATCCCACAGGCTGAGTTCAATCCTCCTCCCAAATATTTTCCTTGATCAAGAAAATAATAATAATAATAATATGAAAAGAAAAAGGTCGCAGCACTCCTTTTCTTTATGCTCCTTTAAGCATCTCTCCTCCTTTACCAACTTATAAGCCATGTCAGTCCTCGCTATAACTCTCCTCTCCATGGCAATACAGCTATTGCCTCTGCTTTCCCTGTTGTCCTCCATGGCCCTGGTTGCGCAAGGAGCAACCTGGTGTGTGGCCCGGAGCGATGCAAGCGACCAGGCTCTGCAGACGTCTCTTGACTACGTCTGTGGCGCCGGGGCCGACTGCACCCCTATAGGGGCCAATGGATTCTGTTATCTACCCAACACCATCCAGGCTCATGCCTCCTATGCCTACAACAGCTACTTCCAGCGCAAAAGCATGGCCCCTGGCTCCTGTGACTTCGCTGGCACGGCCGTCACGGCCAAAACTGACCCCAGTTTGTAACTAAACTCTTTCCCCCCTTTTTGTTTTTGTTTTTTATGTTTTTTGTTGAGTGGGTTTTTTTGTTCATTTTTTGGGTTCTTTGTGCAGGTTATGGATCTTGTGTGTATCCATCTTCCCTAAGGTATGCTCTATTCTTTCTTTTTCCTTTTTTTTAAAAAAAAAAATTAAAGAATATTTTTTATGTGTGTATATTCTGCCATTTAAATTATATTAAATTATAACATATTAATTATTAATCTAATAACTATTATTTTACAGTCCTACAAACTGCAGAACAATTTCGTTTTCTTATTAATTATAACTCCAGTTAAGAGAGATCTTTCACTGTTTGTTTTCCCCTTTACATGTGGGCTTTACTCAGGAGGTCAAAAAATGGTAGTATAGCTTTTGAATTTTATTATGTCCCACAAGACGGAATTAAATTTTTTCAGAAAACAACAACTGTCGGCAACTATAGATCTTTTGAAAAGCAATTGAAGTGATGTAGCGTAATGCTTTTAAGCTCCGCTGGAAAATAGAATCATAGAAATGCACAAGAAACAGGATCACAAAATTCCTTGCTGTAGAGAGATTTTATTTTATTTTTATTTTTTATGATAAGCCTTTGCTGTAGGGTTATCAAGTATTTGTCTAACCATTCTTGTTCATATTAGGGGATTTGCATTAGATCTACAAAAATACAAACCTAGAAACTTTTGCTTTCCAATGATGCTGTACAATCTACTTTTGTGTTCTGGACCAATCTCTCCCCACTTCTTTCTGTTTTATTCTTCTGAGTTCTGAACAAAGAAGTACAGAACCATGCTTCCCCTGCCTTTTACCATTTAATTCTTTTTCTCTTTTTCCTTGGGTATATATTGGGGTGGAGGATCCCAACCCATTTCTTGACAATCAGGAATATATATGCATCTTGCCAGAATTTGAACATGGACTGAAAAGTATACCTCTACTGTATTGTATACAAAATACCTGTTATCATCCATTATGCTAGCTGTTTGCTTCTGACTGTTAGCTAAGAGCTTGAGTTTTGAAATTTCCAGTGCAGCAGGAGGGATAAGCACGACAGGCACAACGCCAACAACAGCTGCAAACAACCCAAACGCACCAACAACCACCACGACAACACCAACCTATGGTTATGGCAGTTCTGGACTAAACCCCATAACAAACCCTCTAATAACAACAGACAATTCTGAAGCTCCATCAAGGTATTTAGCTAGCACGGAATTAATTCAGGTCGTGTTATTACTTGTTATCTCTTTCATTCTGCAACCACCCATGTTAAACACTTAAACCTATCTGCAATGGAAGAGGCATTTTTGCTAATTAGAAGTTGGAGCGCTCTTTCTAGATTTCTAGTAACAGCTATTGCGCCTATTGGTCTGTAAGCTCTACCTTGCTCTCTGGTAGGGTTTGTTGTATTCAGGCTTGAAATTTGTTCTCAGTAATGTCATTTGTAGCTCAATGAGCGGAGAAGTAGCACTAGCAATACCTCTATTATGCTCCAACCTTGTTAAGATGTAGGAGGTGTTTTGATACATTAGGTTTGATATTGGCAGTTTGGAGATACCCTTTTCTTTTTTCTTATCATGGGTTGAAGAGTTACTAATTAATTGTAAGTTCAAAAAATAAAGTGCAATCCACATTGCCGTAGACTACATTTCTTCTAATGGACTTTCTTGATTTAAAAAAGTGTAACTAGTATAAAATAAACTACAAAATAGCATTCTCATATAAGTTTATAGTGGTTTAGTTTATCTAACTTATAATTTGATTTATAAGCCACCACACAAATAAAAAAAGACATTCAAAATATAAAAGAAATTAAAGTAGTAACATTTTCATTTAACTCTCTAACAAATCAATAATCTTTCCATTTAAACTCCTCAAAAAATGAATACATATCTGCAATGGAGAACAAAAGTTTAACAAAAAAATTAACGCATGCATATGCATTTTGTAGAACTAAGGTATTAACACTAAGAATTACTTTTTGTTTCTGTAGATGTTTCAATAAAAACCAAAACTAACACTTTATGATCCTAGTTGTACCCGGTCCAACTAGATCTTCCTCCATCAATTTTTCCAGCTCAGGTGGAGGTGCGATCAAACAGTTTCTGCCCATTGGCAAATGCCGAAAATTGGTAGCCAAGAAATCTGCACAGAAGTTGGCTTCCCTGTAGACGTGCCTCACTTGGCAAATCCAATCCCTCTTTAGTAGCTGCCTGCAAGCAAGAATCAAATGGCTGCACAAATGTTTGGGGTCTTG